AATTATATTATCAAAAAGTTAGATATTTTAATCTTTTTTAAAATTTTAATTTAAAAATAAAAAATTAAAATTTTAAGTAAAATAAATAATATATTAATTTTTAATTGAATAGGTAATCTAAACTAGTGAAATTATGTTATATTCATGTAATAACCCGAATTTTGTCCATTTATTCAGTTAGGGACCAACGTGAAGAAATTAAAATTTCTGGGGCCGAAGTGAAAATATTATAGGGACCTTTTCGTGAATAAAGCGAGTTGGGGGACGAAAGTGCAAAATGCAGGAAATCTGACGGAACAATGTTCAGAGTTGTCCCTCGCCGATTTCTCCACATCGAGCAATGATTTCAGTCTGCTTCCCACAGCGTTGCGTGTGTTTTTGAAGACCCTACTGAACCCCTCAAACAATTTCAGCTTCGGAGCTAGGAGATAGGAGTTCTTGAGAGACCCGTGTGTTGTCCGGTGCGCGGGAGGCCGAGAGGAGTCTAGCTTCTGGAGGTAGTTTGAGTTGCTTTTGCTTCGATTGATTGTTGCTGGGAGGGTCACCGGGTTCGACGCCGTGGATTGGGTTGCTCGATCCACTAAGGTAAGCTTGAAATTCAGATTAATCTCTTTGTTTTTGGTCCAGGTCGTGTTGCAAACCCGGACGCTGCATTCGGGTGAGGAAGACGGACCTCGATGCATCCAGGTCTGTGCTGGGCTGGCTCGGCCGAGTTGACTCAGCCAGTCCATGTGGGCTTGGGCCTGGGCTGATTGGGCCTGGACTAGGTAGGTTAAGTGGGCTGGACCACGAGCTCGTGGGCTTGGCCTATGGGCCAGATAAAAAAAAATGTTATCTAGGGATTGGGCTTAGGCCGGCCTAGTTGGGCTAGCGGCCCAAGCCAAAGGGGCAAAGCCACAAGCTGCGGCTCGAGCTGAGCCGGCTTGCTAAAATAAAAAAAATAATAATAAATATATAAAATAAAAAAATAGAAGGATTTTGACCAAACCGGTCTAGGCTTTGACCGGCTGGTTTAATGGCCAATTTGACTTGGAATTTGGATTTTTGTCTGGTTCTGGGTTCGGGGAGGAAAGATCTATCAAACTAAGTGGGTTCGGAAAATTTTGGGTGACCGGTTCGAGATGAACCAGGTGGTTTAGTGTGTTATCTTTGGGTGACCGGTTCACTGGTTTTTAGGTTGGTTCTTAGGGATTTTGGACTGGTTCCTGATTCAACATGATAAAACCTAGCTAACCATAAAGTTTGGTGATTTTTGGGTGATCGGTTCAAGGTGAACTTGTCTCAATTTGCATGCCAGTGCTTAAGATTAGGATTTTTGGCCCGGTTTGGGGCCAGTTCAAGGCCTTATTGGTAGGGTTAGACCAGTTCCTAGGATTTTGGAGCCTTCTGAATCCAATTTTGAGGGTTTCATGGCCATCTGAGTTGAGTTGGAGGTAATTTTAAACCAAGCTAAGCTGGTTCGAGGGTTTTGGAGGTCGGTTCGCTACGGTTCGAGGTTTGTGGAGGCTAATTCTGTAAGGTTGAGGGTGGTTAAGTAGACTTTTTGAGTGTTAGTGAGTCACGTAGGTTCTGGTGACATGTCGTGTTGCCTCAAGATGCGTGCTAAGGGGCCGATTTGGGATTTGAGTTCGGTTTGAGACTACCGAGCTTATGCCGATTTCAGCGTTGGTGATGGTTTTGCGTGATTTTGGTTACAGATACACCGGTGGAGGCACATCCAGGTCAGCGAGTCGAGTGAGGGAGATTAGGAGTTCCTTTTTGTTCAGCCCTTGTACTGTGAGTAATAATACCATCTCTATGCCTGTGTTTTCATGCTGTGATTTTTTTGACATGATAATTATATTGTTTGGAAACTGTATTTTGACTATATTATACTCGGGATATGTGTTATGTATTTTATGAACTGTCAGTAAGATATGTTGGTATGTGATGCTAGTTTTTGAGATGTAAATTGTATATGCTTATGTATACTTATTTTTGACTACACGTGAGGATGGTATCATGTGATGTGAGGCGGCAGTGGCCATGGGCGGCAGAAGCCGTGGATGTGATATACACTAGTGTGATTCCTCTGATCGTCGAGATGGTGGGTTCCTCTGGTCGTGAGAAGGCGAGACAAGGGTTTCGTGATGTGATGTGCCTGGGATGGCAGACTCAGCCGATAGACGGTGGACCGTAGCGTACGGGGAGTACCTTGGCTCGGCGATGAGATAAATTGTGTGGTTAAGGGCTCAGCCAACGGACGGTGTGCTACCATAGCGTTCGGGGAGTACACTGGCCCAATGATGTAGTATGAGAATTGGATATGGGATGGCAAATTCAGCCGATGGATGGTGGACCGTAGCATACGGGGAGTACCTAGGCCTAGCGATGAGATAAGTTGTATGGCTAGGGGCTCATCTGACGAACGGTGTTCTGCCATAGCGTGTGAGAAGTATGCTGGCCTTGTGATTGATGTGATGTGATGATTGATTACCTTGATACCTCGCATATGTATTTTGATTACTACTCACTATATATATATATATATGTGTGTATGTATGATTTGGTACTTGTGGCATGATACATATTCCAATATTTATAGATTATGTATCATCTATACTCACCGAGTTTCGTGACTCACATATTATCATCATTCTAGATTCTTTCGGCTGTACTTACCTCGATTAACGTGCTAGTATGGGAGACAGCGACTACGAATTTGATCGATGTACGGGTATATCTCTTTTGTATCTTTTCCCTATTATATTTTAGAGTAGCTTCCTTGTACTCTCAAACAGGATCCCGAGTGGTTTCTTAGATATTGTATTACTGTTTTTAGTGTATGTTTTGCATCTTTCGGAGTTTTGACTATTTTGTTGAGGCTTACTAGGTTCGGTGGATCCTAGTGCCGATCATGGGCTCGAGTTCGGGGCGTGACAATTCACCTCTCTTTAAATAAAATTATTAAATAATGGTTAGTTAATAGTTAATTAAAGAAAATATTATTTTTTAATGATAATTATAAAATTAAGTATCATTTAAGCAAGTATTACGGGAGGGAAATGCTTTTTATCATAAATTTATTGAGAAAAGGAATCTGTGATCAATTAAGACAATGTGACACTTCGACCTTAATGCAGACAATTTATTTTCTGGGTTGGATTCCTAATTTTTTTAAAAAATTAAATATTATTTAGTGTTGCATAGGTGGGGCAGATTGTATGTACTACATTTATAATTATTTTTTTAAAAGCTATATATAATTATTTAAAAAAAGGCTATTATAAAGGATGCTTGTAATTAATCCCCCCCTTATTGCTTTCAAGTATCACAATTAAACATATTATTGTATTAATAATTGCATTTTCATATAATGAAAGTTTAAAACCAAAAGAACTACTTTTAGTGGTCAAAATATAATGACCCGAATATTACTGATCTTAACAATTTCTTAAACTTGAGCCATTGGCCCAAAATACTTAAACTCAAGGTAATCGCTGAGATTTGTCTCATCATTATTCAAGGTTATATACGAAGTGGTTCTGACACTATTTGTAATGACCTAAGTATTATTAACCTTAGCAACTTGTTGAGCCTGAACTATTGACCCAAAATTTTTAAACCCAAGTTGTTTAGTAGTAGCTTATAATCTTTTATAAATTCAGCATCTTTCCTGTATTTTGTGGATGTGAGATTTGCCTAAGGGTATCACACGCACACACATTCTTCTTTTGAGATGTCACACAAAATTAGTTTTAGTTTATAATTAGTAAACCCTCTTGTAACAATGTTATAATTACTAATCTTATTAACTTATTAAATTTAAATCATCGATCTAAGATATTTAAACCTGTATTATTCAATATTAATTTCTAATATCTTATATATTATATTATATCACTTCTCAGAAAACTAATGCAAAACGAGATATTACAATCTCTTTCACTTAAAATTTTCATCAAGTCAAAAATTTATATTTGTATCCAAATAGGATGGGTTCAAAAATCATCTCTATTATTCTATTTGTAATAATCTTAGGGCTTCTAATACTAGCAACTTGTCAAATTTTGACCATTAGCCTAAAATTTTAAGCTAAAGTTATTTCATAATAATTTTTTGTTTTTATATATTATATTATATTATAATTTTCAGAAATTAATGTGGAACGAGATATTATATCACTTTTTTGGCGTATGCATCAAACTTTTTTTTACCAATAATTTTGTACGTGAGATAAAAGTAATAAATACAAGGGTTATAAAAAAAATAAATGTAATATAAATGATAAAATATTTTTATATTTAGAAAAAGATTATACTTAATTACATAAAAATATATATTTAAAAAGAGATAAATTGTAAAACAGACTACTATACTTATAAAAATAAAAAAGAAAAAAAAGGAAGAAAGAAATCAACCTCATGACTGAAAGCTTCTTAGTAAGGGAAAAGTCAGCAGTGTCATTTTTCTAGCGCCTTGAATCCCCGGGCGACTAGAATACAGTCACTGCCCTGTATTTATTGGACTTTGGCTCCGGTTGACCCGGTTTGAATATTCTGAATTTTTTTGGAATATTTTTTTTTAAAAATATAATAATTAGATTCATAGTTTCCGAATTTCCAGTGAGATGTAACGGCTTTCACATAAATTTTAAAAAATTATTCTCTTATATAGTTGCTTGATAAAAAAATATATATATATATAAAATCAGATATATGTATTATTTTTTCCTTTTCTACAACATTTTTATTTTAAAATTTAAATTTTTTATATTAAACCAGATAATTAAAATAATTGAGACGAAATATCTATAAAAATGATCTTTTTTCTTTTTTTTGGAATTAATTAAACTGGCTGATGTTACAACATACATGGGCCCGTTTGCCTTGAAGAATGCGGAATGCCGGTCACTTGCTCATTAATTGAGTGGGACTTGTTAAAGACTCCGAAGCCACCAGTCATACAAAACCCGCGCCGATTCTGCTTTCCCCAGAGCTCCTACCACAGAATACCGGAGAATGTACCCATTTTCCTTCTTCATCTATCTCCGCGGCGGCGACTATCGCCCTCAACCGCCGGCATCCAACCGGACATCCCCATCCTTCATCCTTCTCATCCTCTACCTCACTCTCTCACCTTCCGTTTCTGCGCTTGACTTCCTCTTCAATTCCTTCAATGCCAGCGCCGCCGCCTCTCTCGACCTCATCCAAGACGCCCATATCGACTCGCCGGTGATCCGACTCGACAACGAGTCAGACCGGTTCTCCTTAGGCCGAGTCTTTTATCGGTCTAAAGTCCAGATGAAACCCAGTTCAAATTCGACCGTAATTTCTTCATTTTCAACCTCCTTTGTCTTCTCGATCTTCCCCGAGCGCAGCACCAACATCGGCTGGGGCATCGCCTTCGTGCTCTCCAACTCTACCCGACCCGACGGCGCCCTCTCAAGTCAGTACTTTGGGCTCTTCTCCGATGCACCTCAGCCCCCGCCGCCCCACTCCTCGCCGTCGAGTTCGATACTGGGCAAAACACGGAATTCGGTGACCCGAGCAGCAACCACATTGGGATTGACCTCAACAACGTCGTATCCGCGAAGACTGAAGAAGCCAGGTACTACAATTCCAGCGGTGGGATCGTCCCGGTGATCATGCGAAACGGGCAGAATATTCAGGCTTGGATCGAATTTGATGGGCCTCGATCACAGATTGATGTTACTATTGCTCCTGTTGGAATATCTCGACCGTTAAAACCTCTGCTGTCATACAAAGATCAACTGATTGCCAACTATATCTCTGAAGAAATGTACGTGGGCTTCTCTGCGTCGGAGAGCACCTATTTCGAGGAACAGAGGATTTTAGCGTGGAGCTTCAGCAACATCAGCTTTGCCAGGGAAATCGACACCACAAATTTACCTACTTTCTTGCCCAAAACGTCGTCATCTTCCTTGCCGCCCGGGGGCATCGCTGGAATTACAGTGGGATCTGTTCTGATTCTAATACTCTCTTTTTCTGCTATGTACTGGTTTTGGCGAAAGAACAAGGAGAAAGGGCTGGAAGACGATGAATTAGAAGATTGGGAAATGGACTACTGGCCGCATCGGTTCCCCTACGAAGAGCTAAGCCAGGCCACCAATAAATTTTCGAAAGACGAGCTACTTGGAGCAGGGGGGTTCGGCCGAGTATACAAAGGAAAACTACCCAACAACAGTGAAGTCGCCGTGAAGTGCGTGAACCACGATTCGAAGCAAGGGCTCAGAGAATTCATGGCGGAGATTTCGAGTATGGGCAGGCTGCAACACAAGAACTTGGTCCAAATGCGAGGGTGGTGCCGAAAGGGCAGTGAATTGCTGCTCGTCTACGATTACATGTCCAACGGAAGCCTCAACCGGTGGATTTTCGATAAACCGAAGAAGCTAATGAACTGGGTCGGACGAAGGAGAGTTCTCGCCGACGTCGCCGAGGGTTTGAACTACCTCCACCACGGTTGGGACCAGGTAAAGTTTGAATTACAGTTTTCATCCAAATTTTATCTTACTATACTAGTTTGAATTATAATATACTTAGTCCTAATATTTTAAAATTTTTTATTTTAGAGTTTGAGTCATTTGCTTTTAGAAAAAGCCAAACTGTTGCTATTAAATGTTAAAATTAAAATAAAAATCTTATCAAAATTGTTAAAAGTTGAAGGAATAATCGTATGATTGGCCAGGTTGTGATTCACAGAGACATTAAATCCAGCAATATTCTCTTGGATTCTGACATGAGAGGGAGGTTGGGGGATTTTGGGCTGGCGAAGCTGTATACGCAGGGAGAGGCACCGAAGACGACGAGGGTGGTGGGAACGTTGGGCTACCTGGCGCCCGAGATGGCGACGGAGACGGCGCCAACGACAGCGAGCGACGTCTACGGATTTGGGATAGTGGTGCTGGAGGTGGCATGCGGGCGGCGGCCCATAGAGGCAAAGGCGGAGAGGGAGGAGGAGACGGTGCTGGTAGACTGGGTGAGGCAGAAGTACACCGAGGGGAGGATGGCGGAGGCCGCGGACGCGAGGATTCAGGGGGAGTACGAGGCGGAGGAGATGGAGGTGGTGCTGAAACTGGGCTTGTCCTGTTCCCACCCTGACCCGCTTCGCCGTCCTACGATGAGGGAGGTGGTGGCGGTCTTGTTGGGGGACGAAGCCGCGGGGCTACCCCGGGCTCTCTTGCCCGAGTCCGGCCGCGCCGGTGGGGATGGGGAGTGGGGAGAGCAGGCATCGCAGCTTCAAGTTCCGACTCGAATTTAGTTAGACAGAGAGAAATTCTGGCTTCCTAAAAGTCCCCAGCTTGAATTTCAATTCCCAGTTCCTGTTTTCCGACTTAACTACGCCAATATTTTCAATTGCATCATTTGAAGTGGGGAACAAAAGCAAAATCATTTTATATATCAGGATTATCTTTTAATTCAATTTCGTCAAGAAAATTGCTTTTCCATAACACGCCCCAGCACCATATGCTTATTTAATCAAATTAATATTTAAAATATTAACTCGATAAATTTATTAAATATGTTAACAGCATAATACACATAGATACATACATATATATATATATATTTATCTCCTGTTTAATAAATAGGATTCTTTTAGGTTAGTTACAATATATTAAGTAACAAAAATCATATTAAAGTTATCAAAATAAATAAATACTAAAATTGACACTAGGAAAATTAAAAACAATATTACATTATTTAAAACTAACATCTTAAGTATTTCATGCATAAGGATGAATAACGCAAGTGGTATAATTAGAATATTTAAGAGATTTAAGAATTCAACTCCCAATTCATCAACTTTTTTTTTCAATTTATATTAAAAAGTAAAAAAATAATTTTTAACATTTAATTAATAAGTTATTATTAAATCGTGCTTGTATACATGTTAACATGACACAATGTCTGTCAAAATTAAATGTGTCATAATATGTTGTAATCGGATTAAATAAGTTAATTAGTAAGAAAAAAACACACACACTTATTTTTGTGTTGTAATCATGTAAGCACCATTATTATATATTATAAATACAATTAAGATAATTTAAATTTAATTATTGTCGCCTCCTTATTTCATGGATCAAATTGAAACTTCGTATTATCCAGGTAAGTCTGTTTAATTGAAGAACCGGCCTTGGTAAATAGGAAATTTAATTATTTACTAATAATTATTATTTAACAAATTATTAATCCGTGACTTAAATGAATAACAAAAGTTTGTTATAATTTATTTTTTGCAAAAGTAATATAATTAAAAACAAAAGCTCAGGCAAAAGTAGACAAGTTTTAGAAACTAATTTCAGGATTCACCCTAGAACCGAACACACATTAATTCTAGGCCTACCCACATCAAGTACTTTTCATTACTAGATCATACAATAGATAAGATATTGGTGGACATTACCTGCCAAGCATTTCTATGTTTTGTAAAGGGATTCACCAAATGGTAATTGAAAGTATTTTGAAAAATCAAAAGCCAACCTTATTGCAAACAGCTTGTTGACTAGAGGGCTTCTTCAGAATAGAGTATATACCCCTTGTAACTGCTGAAGCTTGTGTACTAGAGGTTGAAGGTGAGAGACTGGAAGCAGAAGCGTGGCTTCTTTCTTATACATTCAGATCTCAGACGGCACATTGAAGCCACCGATTCTTTCATCGTTTCCGCCCACAGACCAAGACCCAACATCGGATTCATCCGTTTCATTCGGAAACTGGCAAAATATTTCTGTCCAGTACACAAAACCACGAGTAACTTTAATTGGATTTGCATTCTGGTTACTATTTTCTGTTTTCAGTTTTTGTTTCCATAAACAACAACCTACCAAAGAGGTTTTTGTTTTCAAAAAAAAAAAAAGAAAAAGAAAACTGTCATCCCCAGTGTTTGGAACAAGTTTAAGAAAGGGAAATTAGTGAGGGTCGGGGGAAACGGGAATTGTTTGCCACCAAAAGCACCCAATAATATCATAGAGTTTGTTCCTTGGACTGTTTGGACTCAAGTTCTATTTTTTGTTTTTAATTTTAGTTTCTGTGTGTTCAAAAATAGAAAACATCCGAAATCTCAACTGTTTGGTTTTTTCAAGTAAAAATAGTTTCTAAAAATTCTGGAAATAATTTTTTATTATTTTCTAACAGTGGCCTATTTTCTGAAAATTCACCCGAAAACAGCTTTTAGGAAACCAACTGCTAAACGGACTTTCTGCTTTTAAAAACATAAAATTGTTTAAATCCAAGCAGGCCAGAGTCCTTACTAATTTTTAATGAAGATGAAAATGGAAGTCTTGGTGGAGAAAATGGGAATCTGATGGTACCTTGAAAATCAGGCCTTCCGCCAAAATGAATCTCAATTTCTTCGAGAGCTTGGTGTCTCTCCGTTGAGCTCGGTTTGATCTCTTTCCCGTGTTTCTGATACGTCGGAGGAAGCTCCTTCTTAAACCGATAGCCACCAGGGCGCCGCTCATAATGGCCACAGCAAAAGAACATAGAAGAAAGATGTCAATTACAGAAGAGGGATGTTTCTGTATAGAGGCCTTCTTCTTGCCTGTGTGAAGATAAGCACGGTTGAAGCAACTGAGAAGGATGATGAACATGGTTGAAGAAAAGCCAACAATGGCAGCCACGAAGAGAGAATTCCCAATTTTTTGAGGGGCGTAATTGGAATATTGTCTGTCGAAATTAATTGTTTCTATCCGAGAGAATTCGTCAAGGATCTCTCCTTTGGTTGCACTAGATTGCTCTTGGGTTACAAAACTTTGACTTTAGGATGGAATTGTTCTGATGCCTGGTTCAGCAGTAAAGGCAGAACTGAATCTAAAAGGCATATGTCTTGGGACTTCTTCACAACATAAATGAGCTGTACTTGCGCAGGAAACCTCCCTATGCTACTATTCCTGATAGAGTCAATTTCATGCAAAATGCTCAGCAATGGCGTTATCCCTATTCCTCCAGCAATCAAGAGTAGACTATCATATCTGGAACAATACAAAAACAGGAAAAAGATTAGAGAAGAAAAAGGAAAAATCAATCAGCCAAAGTTACAGGCTCAAATGCCTAGAATCCGAGAAATCCTGAATTTGGGATTGTTTGGCTTTTTGGGCTTTTTTAGCCAAATACTTGAACACAAAAAGCAGGCAAGCAAAAACAAGTGCTAAATTCCCAAAATTTGCACCTCAGGAAGTCCAGGGAAGCAGGTCCATAAGGCCCTTCAACTGCAACCGGGAGACACTTCGTCTGATTATCATGAGACCCTGGACCAGCTTGAACTAGGTTGTAAAGAGCTCTCGTCCACCATCCGTCGCATCTGATTATAACGGACATGGTGTGTTCATCAATATTTGAGCTGGAAGATAGACTGAAGGAGTGCCACTGTAAGGTAGATATGCTAGGTATTTTGATGAAAATTGTGCTTTTTGGGGTATACACCAATCCTGAAATTAATTAGAAAAATGGTTATATTAGATATTTTTAGTCTTCTTGATTCATTTTCCAGTAACATGACAAGCTTGGAAGTTTACTTGGGTCTTTGGGCAGAATTAGCTCTATAGCTTTGCAGGGGAAGATTCGAGCAGCAATTATGCATGTTTCAGGCCTTGACTGAATGATCCGGAATAGCTTATCAAGGCTGAAGAGAAAAATCCCGGCGAAAACCGTATAGAAGTGCCTATCACCACCATATTCCGGGCTATGGCTGAGACCCAACCTTGCAAACCAGCCCATCAGAATTTAGCCTAGTTTCAAATCCCAGACCAAGCCCAATTAGCTTGGCCCAACCTATTTCAAAAGTTTAAAACCCAATTGCAAATGCAGAAAGCCCATGACCCCCAGTCCAATTTAAACCCCCCGCCCATGGCCTGTTTTCCTTAAACCCGGATCAGCACAGACCCATGGGTTTCATGTTTCTCACCCGATTCATCCCCCGAACAGTAAGAAAAACATGTACCTGGACGTGGTTTGGCTTGAGATCTGCGATCAACACCTGCGAACATGCTCGCCTAGTTCGACTCAGTAACACTGCAGGAGAAGAAGTTTAATTGTCCACCAATCGGCTGATATGCAACTCTGCAACTCGAAGTTATTCCAAGCAAACAATCTTGAATCGCGGACAGCTGGACGTGAAAGGAGGAGAATTGTCATAGGGATTTTGATCTTCTACCTCCTAATCATATATTTATTCGATCAATTTAAGATTTCGATCCACAAAATCCCTTCAATCTTTCATATTACAATTCGGGTCACAAGAAGGAAAAATGGGGAACAAATGCGATTATTCCAGGTTTAGTCCCTAATCTTGTGATTTCCTTTGATTCGTTCCCTAGATTTCGAATCCAATTCAATTCGGCCCTTGCCATTTCTAATTAATCAAATTCTAACCCCAACTAGTTTTAATTAGTTCGACTAAGTCCCTTATTAAGTTTTTTTTTTTTTAATAATAATACCCAAAAATTTTTGGAGTATTACAATTCTATAATTGATTTAATACCAACTAGTTTTAATTAGTTCGACTAAGTCCCTTATTAAGTTTTTTTTTTAATAATAATACCTCAAAATTTTTTGGAGTATTACAATTCTATAATTGATTTAATAAGTTAAGTTTATAAACTAAATGAATAATATATGAATTAGATTTTTTAATTCATATAAAATATAAGTTGATTTTGAACTAAAAGAAATTCAATTTATTTAGTTCATAAATTGACTCTATATACATATATATATATATATATAAATTACATTTATTACTTGAAATATTATGAATAAATTAGTCTTTCTTTTTAATTCTTAAATAAATTATATTTTTTAAAATTAAAAAATACAGTTAAATATTTCTTAATTCTTTTTCTATTTTGAGAAAAAATTATGTAGTGATAGAATTAAAATAATTTCTCGCTAAATAACCATTTTAAAAAAAAGGTAAATTATTATTTTAAAAAAATAATATAGCATAAGAATTAAAAAAATGCATTATTGCATGGTGTGAGTTAACATGATGCCTACTGGAACTTGTTAGCGTAATGCCAAATGAAATCAATAATTTGATGCCTACTGGAACTCAATCATAGGCATCCAAGAAAAAGCTTCCAAATTGAATGCATCGCTTTTCACCCATTTATTGGGTTCACATCTGAAGCCACTAGAATATAAAGTTTCTTTTTCTGCTATCAGTTTGTAGCCAAATGTGAAAAGAAAAAAAAAATTCATGTACAACATGTCATCCAATTTTGAAACTCCCACTAAATTTGAAACCATTTACACAGTTTT